ATAAGTAGAAAATATTTTACTGAGTGTGTTTTTTTCTGCTGTGAACAGCTGGCTCCCAAAGCTTTTCATATTCTTAATATTCTGTGCAGGGATTAGTTCACAGAAGTGAAAGAATTACAATATAGTTATCAAATATACTATATATATATATGTATATATATATAGAGAGAGAGAGAGAGAGCGAGAGAGAGGAGTTGTATAATATATTAATTTTATAAGTAATATATAAGGTAATATTATATTATTCTAATATGACTCCTTTCCAGTTATTCAGCAACAGTTCAGCTCAGTTCCTATCTATTCTCCTCCAAGGCCCTATTGATAACCTCTTCAACAGTCTGTTCCAGCTAGGGATGTGCAAAATTGACAAAAATTATATCTCAACATTTTCTGGGATTTTATTGCTAACAATAAGTAGAAAATATTTTACTGAGTGTGTTTTTTCTGCTGTGAACAGCTGGCTCCCAAAGCTTTTCATATTCTTAATATTCTGTGCAGGGATTAGTTCACAGCAGTGAAAGAAATTAATTTTCACTGAAGGGTGATATTTGCCTCCTTAAATAGATTTTCAGGGGCATTTTTACCATTATATGGCCAATTTTTGTAACATTACGTATGCATCATCTTCTATTAAATTCTTATATGTAATCAAACTCAATTACAACAAAACACTACAGGCTACCAATCAAACTAAATCTATTTTTGATGTTTTCACACTTACAATTGCATAAATGCGAATGGATTTTTAAAAACATTTACATTTTTGAAATACTGAAATGAGATTTATATTAAAAAAAAGACACTTTAAATTTGAAAGTGAAGCTTTCAGTAGGTGACTATGGTTCATTCTTAAAGAGCAGGTCATATGGTATTTTAAAGGAGACATATTATGCCCCTTTTTACAATATGTAATATAAGTCTCTGGTGTCCCCAGAATGTGTGTGTGAAGTTTCAGCTCAAAATACTCCACAGATCATTTATTATATCATTTCTGCAAGCGTCTGAGAAAACGAGCGCGTCTGATTTCGCACCCTGGGTGACGTGGCAAAGGGATCTCATTATAATATTACCTCCCCCTAATCTGTAAACTTCCACTCAAGGCGCCATCATTTTGATTTCGCAAGTGACAACGGTGCACCAGCTCTAATGCCATGGTGAAAGTTTGCGGGAAAAGGGGGCAGGGAGCCGCAGCTCATTTGCATTTAAAGATACAGGCCCGAAAAACAGCGTGTTTCTGCTTCCACTCAAAATAGGCATTTTCAAAATGATATAATAAATGATCTGTGGAGTATTTTGAGCTGAAACTTCACAGACACATTCTGGGGACACCACAGACTTGTATTACATATTGTAAAAAGGGGCATAATATGTCTCCTTTAAAGTGTCCTAATATTGTGTTGGAGTCCCCAACAACAGGTTTAAATGCATCCAGGGTCAGAAAACATTGTAATTGTCTCAGAATATACATGTAATATTAGAATCATTTTTCAATTATTTTTCGTTCGAAGCAGTTCTGAGCTTAAAGGATTAGTTCACTTTCAAATTAAAATTTCCCTGATAATTTACTCACCCCCATGTCATGATCCAAGATGTTCATGTCTTTCTTTCTTCAGTCGAAATGAAATTAAGGTTTTTGAGGAAAAACATCCAAGGATTTTTGTCCATAAAGCGGACTTCAACAGTTATTATTATTATTATTATTATTATTATTATTATAAAACAATAAACATTTATATACTTTTTAACCACAAATGCTCGTCTTGCTCTAGCTCTGCTTGTGCATGCACATCTTCACGTATTACGTAATCCCGTTGGAAAGATCAAACGCGGTTAGCTCTTCGTCTGTGTACTCCAGTTCAGAAAGGTAGGTAGGGCGAAAAACTCCATCTCATTTTCTCCTCCAACTTCAAAATCGACCGACATCGTTGTTTTACCTTGTTTTGTAAAGGGCGTTTGACTTTCTTTGCACGTTCGCTTTGTAAATGCTGGCTCGGTTGTTCTGCCAACGTCACGCGTGACCTTTCCAGCGTGATTACGTAATGCGTGAAGACGAGCATTTGTGGTTAAAAAGTATATAAATGTTTATTTTTTTAGAAAATGACTGATCGTTTCGCTAGATAAGACCCTTATTCCTTGGCTGGGATCGTGTAGAGCCCTTTGAAGCTGCACTTAAACTGTTCCCATTGATGTCCATTATACGGAGAAAATTCCTGGAATGTTTTCCTCAAAAACCTTAATTTCTTTTCGAACATCTCGGATGACATGGGGTGAGTAAATTCTCAGGAAATTTTTATTCTGGAAGTGAACCAATCCTTTAAAGGTCCCCTGAAATGCTTAGAAACACACAGCGTTACTCCGTGTTGACGTCATTTTAACTGAAACAGGAAGACAGGGCGGGACATATCAAGCAGCCCCGACCCTTTTTAAAATAGCCAATAGCGTTTGTTTAAATCACAGCTTGGGCTAGAGCCGTTGAGCACCGTAAAGCCGCATTTGACAGGGTATGCCAGCCACAATCTCATCCATATTGCTATAAAATATAGCATTCTGTGTAGAATTCAAATAGCTCCGATACATTTTGTGGTCTGCGCCGACTCGCGCATGTGAGCCGCTCCATGCTATCGTGTCTCTTGACCGGAGCAGAGTGTGTGTGCGGTGCGGTGGTTAGCGTGACACAGCTGGAAACCAGACTTCTTTTTTCCTCAATGGAAAGCATTTACATTGTTTGAATCGTTCCCTGTCCCCTATATAGTGCACTACGTGCCATTCACTGTACAGAAAATATGAATTCTGTGGACAAGTGACCGATTTCAGCCGCGCTTCAGCGTCTATTTTATAGTGTAGGGGGCGGGCGCTTCGGATTCTAGAGAGCATTTGATTGGACAGAAAGTTTGATGAGAAGCTGAAGTATGATGTGACGTCAAAAAAATCATTGAGCCGTTTTGGCGGAAGTGACGAACTGAAAGCTTTGAATGCTTATATCTTCTAAATGCGAATTTTGTCACTGTTTTGGAGCACACTGCCTTATAGATAACCTTAAGACTAACATATTGATACCAACACCCAAAAAACTTTAATTTTGATTTCATGGGGACTTTAAGGTCTGTAAACCCCTACCTTCCATAAGCCTACTCTGCTCTGATTGGTCAGCTGGCCAAGTCTGTTGTGATTGGTCTTTCCGTATACAATGCGTGTCGGAAACGCCCATTACCATAATTTTTTTTTTTTTGCTCAAGAGGGTTACTTGTAAACAAAGATGCTATAAGTTTGCAAAAATGGCATCTATATTACCTTATCTATTCGAGCCCAAGTCCGAGGATGATACCGATACAGTCGCTCAACCGGAAACTCCATCGCAAGCTCGACTTGATCAGAACATTTCTCAGTGGTAAGTCTAAACTTTGTATGTGGTACTGAATAAGTGATATGACAGCAGTTTTATTGCATTCATTATATATTATTTAATAATTTGAGGTGCACATGTGGGAACAAAATAAATTTCTTGGACAAACCTTATCTAGATTCCAAGACTCTCCCACTGATCTATCTTTATATTTATATAGATCAGTGAACTCGCCAATATGAGGTAATCTAGTAACATTTAGCGACTGTTTTAGCTTTCAATTGAAAGCAGTTGGCAACACTGGTCAGTGTTTTTTCCCCTCGTATTTCGAAAAAAACCCTCCACATATCACTTTTGGCCACTGTTGTGTTTGGTGGGGTTTGTGCCACAATAGTTAAGACCTTGCTTACTGTGTCATCACCAGTGCATTGCTGCATTTTCCCAGTTTTCCAGCCAAAAAAATGTAATTCCTACTTTCATTTCTGCAGCTAGAGCATTGATTTGTAGAGTGGAAGAAGTTATTCAATTTCATACTTGGTCAGTTACAGAAAGAACTGACTATCTTGATGATCAAATGTGTATCGTTTTATCAACTCCATATCATCATATAACTGCAATACGTCATATCTTTGTTGGAAAGTGTGTGTCTCTTCCTCTTTGCTGCCATCTTGTTACTCCTAACTAGGTTTGGAGATCTCTCCAGCTCTCTTAAATAATTTAGGAGCTGAGATCTAGTCTTAACACTTAGGAACCTTTATGAATCACAATTATTCTTAAGTGTAGAAATAAGAGTAAAATTACATCATTCTTAGAATTTTGAGACAAAAATTTTACTCTGAGCAGCTTTATACAAACGGGCCCAGATCATTTTAACAAGACTAAGGATGGGTCATACAAAATTTAATTCTACACTTCACATAATAGGAAAACACAATAAAGGATTATGTGAAATATGCCAAGTATAGGAAACAGTTGGTCATGTGTTGTTACCCTGTCCTAGGTATAAACAGGAAAGGAATGATCTACAAAGAGAACTACAGAACATTGGATGCAATGAATTTTCAATCTGCAACATATTAAACACAAAACAAGGATCTGGTCAAATAATAAGGACAGTTTTAAAATTAATTAAGAATAGTGGATTTAAGAATAGAATATAGATATCATAATATACACCCAGACTGAAATCACTTCACACTCCAGCACAGGAGGTTGCGGTATGCACCTAAAAAGCTGGTATGCGACCCACCAATAAATCCACAGAAGAAGAAGAAAGAAGAAGAAATAGCACACTAGCATATCCAGAGCAGTATGCTTGTATGTTGTTTGAAATTCAGGCAAGATAGAAACCATATAGAACATTTGGTTAATATGAGTCAGTAGGTTACAATAATTACTTTATTTATTTTTATGTAGTTTGTAAAAACAGGATTCAGATGTTTCATTGTACATGTATTAAACAAGTTTATACATGCAGGGAGAGAGCTTTTAAAACGACTAAGTAATTACTCATCTTTAATGTATTTATTACACTCCAGTCTATAAGAATGTAAGAGTCAAATTACTCGAATAGTAAGATTGAGTCCATGGTCTATTTAAAAGCATTTAAATCTGAAGCATTTAAATTTTGCAAGTAGAAAGTGCCAAAGTGCTAAACTTCTTATTAGTTTAGACTAGTGATGTCATCTTCACTTGCTATGCTGGTGCAGTCATCATACACAGTGACTCTTGGGATGGCCACATCTCTCTCCCACACTTTTCTAACGGTCTCTGGAGTTAAAGAAGCCAGAGGCTCAATCACAGACACTTGAGTCTGCTGCACTGCAGTCCCAAGATGCTGAGGGGAGTGAGGACTCAAGCTATTATCTAAAGCCCACCTATAGGCTTTGTTAGTTGGGCTGGTGGGTGATACAACAGTATCGCAGAGTGGTCCACCTGATCCTTCATTTTGAGTCCAGGAGGGTCCTGAAGGGCTGAAAAGGTTACCTACACCAAGCAAGTGGGCATGATGGAGGGCATTGTTAATGCTGTGATGGAGGTTGATGGGTGAAGGGGGGTGAAGGTCAAACTCAATAAGTGAGAGAAAGCACTCATGTTCTTGCCATTCCACACCACTAGTCCACAGAAGTGAGGCATGGTGGTCATAACCGCTGCTGTATAGGACACCTCCACCAATAACTCCAGCGTTGTCATGCACAGTCATTATTGAGGTTGCTGGAGTTGCTTGGCTTCGGACTGACTGGCTGACATTTGCACGGGACTGCTTGTGACCTTGCCAGTTATTGGGCAACAGTTTAGCCCAGTTCTTATCCGGTCTCCTCGAAGGCCCCACTGGTAACCTGTCCAACAGCTTGTTCCAGCGTGACACCGGTTTCCTCTTCCCTGTCTGCTTACTTCCTTGTGGTCTCCAGAACACCTGAGATCCCAGCAGTAGAAGAGAGAAACTCCAGGCCAGCTCAAGCAGTCGTGCAGAGAGCTGCACTAGCCACCAGCCCCACCCAAATCTGCGCCAGTCACCAAGTAACCTATACAGCCAGAGAAAACTATAGATTTGCAAAGCACAGGAGAGCACTCCGAGGAGGGCGCACATCAATAGCACATGCCTGACACTGTTTTCTAAGCGCTTGGGGGCACTCCACCTTGGTAGTGGAGTCCTGTGGGAGGAGTAGAGTTTCTTTAGAGACTGGAAAAAGATTCCTAAACAAAGCGGTATCCCCCAACAAATAGTAAGTGTCTGTAGCATTAATGGCAGTGCTGGCGACAAGGTTTTGGAAAGCAGGTCAGCCAACATGAGGGAGGTACAGTGCAGTGCTACCAGCACCCCAGTCACCGAGAGCCTCTGAGGTGATGTTTCTTCTCTCAGAGCAAAAACTGCTTGGCTTGGGCCCAGAGCATTAAGGGAACAGGTAAGTTATACAAAGCAGTGAGGGCAGGGCGAGGCAGAATGTTTCTGGTACCATATGGGTCAGTTATGAGCTGTACAAATCGAAGCAGGCCTGCTAGCAGAAGCAGGATGTTAGCAAGGGTGAAGGCCTTGCAAAACGGTTGGAACAAATTAGCCCCACCAATCACTCCGAATGTTGCAGCTATCACTACCAACAGAAATAGTACAGTTGAGCTATACACATGTAGCTCCCAAGCAAAGGTTAGTGTCCGTTTTAAGTCCTCCCACTGTAGCTGGGTCACATTGCCACCGGTGGAGATTACATATGGGCCTAGTATGCATGTACCTATGACATCAGACAGGTTGCTCTCTGTTAATAGTCCAAACAAACTTCCAAACCATTTTGGCTTTTCGTCATCTATAATGGAAATGGAGAGCATTTTAGTTAGAACACTTGAGTTGTTTTCATTCTAATAATAGTGTAAAAGTTCTCTACATTTTTTAATAAAAATGACATTATTCATGATTACCTTTGTTTTTTGAGTAATCTCTATCTGTGACTTTGTTTTTTGCCTGCAAAACAGATGGAGTTGTGGATGATGACCCCACAGGTAAATCAGACGTAGTCTCTTCACGTTTCTCCTTACCTGAAATTCATAAGAAAAATCCGTGTTTATTTCCTTGAGTTGCTGACTTTCTTGCTGTTTTTTTTTTTTTTTTTAGAACTGACATTGCAGTGGTTATTCAAAAAACATCACCACTGTTTAACAGAATAAATCTCTCAGATAAATACTAACCAGTCTGTAATGGAGGTGTGGCTGCAGTCGGATGGTTGGTAACATAACGTTCCTCTCCCACCGTGAGATCAAACAACCCTTGAATGGAGCCAGACTGCGTAACAAGGGTGCCATTGTGTCCCAAACTTTCAGGCTTTGTGATGGAGCTTAAATTCTGTGTGGACGCAACATACTTCATATCTTGAGAAGCCTTCAAGTCTTCTTTGCTGTTCACATCTATATCTGTATTAAATGTCTCTAAATGCATATTGACTGGAGAATTTCCTGTAGTGTTTTTCTCTGTAATTGGTTTGATGGTTGTCAACAAAGTTTGGTCTTTGTTCAATCTCTCATTGTTATTTATGTGGATGTGGATGTGTGTAGTCAACTGTACAGCCATTGTGGAAGTAGCTTGATCAGAGGCACTGTTATTGTTTGCTAAAATTAAATCTTGATCATCTTCATCAATATTCTGGGTTCGTTTTTTTGGAACTGGAGGGGCAGGGTGAGCATATAACTCTTGCACGTCAAAATCTTGTTTCTCCGCTCTGTCTGGAATTAACATGTCCATCTCCAGTGGACCAGTAGAGGGCATCGTAACCTCAAGGCTCTACTGAAGTCCACTTCCTTCCCCAGAGCCCTCATTTATGCTAAAGTCAGGCAGAAGGCGTAAAAGCAAGTCTTTGGTAAATCTATTGTCAACTCTTTTCTCAATCAAGCTTGCGTTATGTGATGCAGGTAGAGTTTTTTGAAAGCCATCAGTTGCCTGGATGGTCAGGTTGTTGTGGCTTAAGGGTTGTGTTGAGTTGGAGCCAAAGGAAGTGACAGGTTGCTGGAGAAGAGGCAGTCCTAAAATCAGAGTGAGGAGCCAAACCATTCTGTCCCGTTAATTTCCAAAGGCTGTCGAGTCAAAACAGTGCCAGGAGCTAAATGGTGACAGAACAGGATATACATGGATTATAAAGACTTTTAGAAGCTACACTTGTGAAAGTAAATAACATTTCCCAAATCAAAACCTGGATGAATGTACAGGATATTTATACAGAATATGAAAATAGTGACAAGTATCGCAAACAGGTCCCAAAGCAGTGACTAAAGTAACTATGCATTATCACTTTTCTTTTTCATTTTTTATATTTTCAACAGGGGCTTCTTACAGCTTCTGCACTGTACAATCTGTCAGTTTATCCAGTTTTACAATGTAAATGTAAATGTAAATAACTGAATTGTACAATAACTTTTGATTGGTTTGTATAACATTTGCAAAACATTTTTTTTTTTTGTGTATTCTAGCATTTTTGGGTGAACAGCATGCGACTTGCTAAAAAGAGGTGATGAACCAGTAATTTAAATAATTTACATAGATTAAATAGGCTTAGGCTTAGGTGTGAAGGCTGTTATTGAACTTCACTTACAAAATACCTATGAAAATTCTGATAGCACAAACATAGTACAACTATATTGAATTTATAGTTCCGGTGACAGAAAGTAAGTATATGTATATGTATGTATATATTTCAACCAGTCACATTTATTTATCTCTAATATTTTTATACACAAAATATTAAATGTAAATGTCTACCTCGCAGCTTACTGTGAACTATACCTTGTAGAACTAACTGACTAACTGATTTGTTAGATTTGAAACAGAAACCCAAATACTCCTCATGCAACCCTTTGAACACTTACCTGAAGTTCCTGAGGTCAGCCGTAAAGTGAATATCACAGTTCTTCTGAGTATTTCTCAGAAGTAAATAATTTTCCTGCTGGTGTAATCGTCATTGAATGTAGTCTTCTTGACTGCTGCATCTTTGTGCTGATGCTTAGAGTGCAGCCCACCTGATGTTTCACTGTAATCTTTCTGCCATCTGGTTGATGTCCTGCTGGACTTATGTCTCAGGGTTCTGATCCCAATCCAAACAACAACAGTTAACAAAATCCAGGAGCTTTGAAACATTAGTGTAGATAGAATGAAATATGTCAAGCCAGGGTCACAAAAAAATTGTAGTCTTCGAAAATATTTCCTCTCTCAATTTTGTGTATCTGTTCCTTTCTGGTATCACAGATGTGTAAAGGTAATCTCGTCAATATAAAGGATTTCAGTAAGACCATTAGTTCACTGAACCAGTCTGTTCCTACATAACATAACAAAGCATAATGATATGATAAAGTGACCAACCAAATGAATATCACCACCACAATAATAATAGATAAAATTAAACCAAGAAATAGATCAAGTGGAAAAATGGGCAAATCAATTAAGCATTGAATTATGATGCTGTCGATAGAAATTCAGCAATTTGATAATCTAAATGTTAAAAAAAAGAAGTTTATTTTATTATTCAGTTCGGTGTATAATCAACATATGAATAATTTCTGTATTTACAATTTTTAAATCAAATAGGCTATTGCATTTTCACTTTGTCTATTTATTCATGGTTTATTATAGTGTGATTATTATTATTATTTTATTATTAAGGCTGATTTATACTTCTGCGTCGGACCTACGCGGTAGCCTTTACTTAGTTCCTGAGGTCAGCCGTAAAGTGAATATCACAGTTCTTCTGAGTATTTCTCAGAAGTAAATAATTTTCCTGCTGGTGTAATCGTCATTGAATGTAGTCTTCTTGACTGCTGCATCTTTGTGCTGATGCTTAGAGTGCAGCCCACCTGATGTTTCACTGTAATCTTTCTGCCATCTGGTTGATGTCCTGCTGGACTTATGTCTCAGGGTTCTGATCCCAATCCAAACAACAACAGTTAACAAAATCCAGGAGCTTTGAAACATTAGTGTAGATAGAATGAAATATGTCAAGCCAGGGTCACAAAAAAATTGTAGTCTTCGAAAATATTTCCTCTCTCAATTTTGTGTATCTGTTCCTTTCTGGTATCACAGATGTGTAAAGGTAATCTCGTCAATATAAAGGATTTCAGTAAGACCATTAGTTCACTGAACCAGTCTGTTCCTACATAACATAACAAAGCATAATGAAGGCTAACTGAACAAGAAAAATCCCATCACACAGTTGACATAATGTGAAAATGATTTTCTCAAACATCTGTTTTTCTGATTTGATACAGTAATTCTGTCTTTTTCAAAACCATGTTAGGCTATATCTACCGCTTACTTAGTTCTTGGTACAAACCTGCCATGTGGGGCTTAACATAATTACTCACAGCAGAGACAACATGATGGATTTAACCGGATCTTATTTGAATGTATGTCAAACGCTCCCACACACAAAAACACACAGAAAAGAGGGATATTACCTATTTCAGACATTAAAAAAAACATTATGTACCATTAAGTAATGGTAGTTTTTTAGTACATAATGCATGTACATTATTTGATGTAATATTGTATTGAAAAAACATGCTGAAGTAAAAATAATGCTATGATTATATTATTGTTTTATAGGTCTTCAAAGAGGTTCTACGTAAATTATATGAATATATTTGGCCAGCTCTGTTGCTGGAGTGATGCTTTCAAAGATATTTATTAATCCCTATTGTTAGTCTGAAATTTCCCAAGCAGATTTTTGTTTTGTTTTGTTTTGTTTTATCCAGTTGTGTACTGGAGTTCTAAAGGGCTGATCTAAATAAAATAAAATAAAAAAATGGTTTCTACAAAAAAGTGGTTTGACGTGTTTGAGTGAACATTAAATCTTAATTTAAAACATATAGTTGGATCCTGTCATTAATAGTTTAATGTGCTGCTCTTTGCAATAAAGAGGACAGGAAATTTGATATTTAGGCCTACTTACAAGTTCACATACTGATTTTCGGATATTTACAAATGTGCTCTGCTGAGATGATTGGGCCCCCGTTATGTAAATGATTAAATGAAGTGTGGAGAGCTGTATGTTTATCAAAATTATAGGACAGGGTCATTCTGGGGTTAAGAGAGCGACCGTGGGAGTTAACTCTTTCTGAACTCATAACAGTCATATGATTAAGCGATATACAGCATATCTCACTTGGTCCACCTTAAGAGCTCAGTCAGGCAGCCTTTTGCAGGGCGATCAGGGGGAGGCCCTCACAGACACATGCTAAGCGCTTTAAGGCGGACTGGAGTGAATAAAGCTCCGCTTAAAGGCACAAGCACGCTGAAATTACATTTTCAGAATGACTTCATCTTGCTCTGTTACGTACATAATTAAACGCAACGTATCTAAAATACATTAAATGCGTTCAAAAGGATTTTGAAGCCATTCTTTTCTATATATTTCTTTAATAACTTACTCTCATTAATAAAACAACGTATTTTACAATGAAATCACAAGCAGTTGTTCCACAGAGAGCATGGAAAATAAACACATGGGCACATGTGTACGTTATACCAACAGCATATCATTGGGCAGAGTAGTAGGTCTGTACTTTGTTACCTTGAAACCATTTAATATAAAGTGCCATTAACAGCTAGTGCGCGCACCCGCTGACGGCCTCCGCCAGTGTTGCCATGTCCTCTAATTATAAGCGGGGTTTGATTATAGTTGATTACAAGTATGTGGCTGGTTGCACTTTTGGACTTATTTGCAAAGTACAGTAACACACAAAACTCACGTACATATGGAGGGAGGGGTTCTTGCAGACCAATCACAGCGCTTGCGGTCTGCGTAGAATTGACGCGCTGATTTTTGGAGAGGTGCACGTCAGGCTACGGCGTCTGGGTGTACGTCTATGCGTAAGCTACGGCGTAGGTCCGACGCAGAAGTATAAATCAACCTTTACTTTTGTTCATCAACCTGTTTATTCAGTTTTTCTGTTTATCCTTGTGTTACTCATTAATAAACATATATCCCCCCTGTCAATATACTCCGTGAATTTCTCACTTTTACACTACAAGCCTGGAGTTTTATTATTTCAAAAGTTAAATTAATAATGCATACGAAATTAATTTTAGGGGATTTTTTCGCAATATGGCGAAATCTGGCAACACTATGCTCCGCGTTCATGGCATAGTGAATGTGTTTGCGGCAGCAGTGGAGCCGGAAGGGGGAGCTGCGAATCCGTCCCCGCCTTCACGAGCAGGACAGCCCGGGGTCTAGCGCTGTCACAGCAGGCCTACTTCCGTCAGCTCTATCGCAAACATTATTATTAAAAAATAACATTTACAGCCATCCAAGCCGTCCAAGCAGCGCGTTTGTGTATTTTTTAATACGGTAGGACATGTTTGCACCCGGCCGCAGCGGGGTTTAAACCGTTTCATTTATGTGTGTAGCAGAATAAGCACACGACACGACATAAATCGCACTTAAAATTTATCAAATGTGTTTTGAGTGCAAAAATAACGGGAAATAGCCAAGCAAACGGACTTTACATGTGCACGGCCAGCTTTAGTTGAGCTTTAGTGATGTTTTTGTTTTTTTGAACGGCGCGTTTTGGCGGAAATTGCTTTGGCTTTTATTTAAGGTAGCATGGGAAGATTAGCACGCGAGCTCATTTTAGCTAGACGGCTGCGCGCGCGTTGCCACATTTACTGCGGGAATAATGGCTAATATCACATAGCGGCATGCCATAAATGTGTTTAGCATCGTAATTCAGGTCCTTGCACCTTTTTGTGTGGTTTTTGAAGTTTCAGTTGACAAAGGTTAGCGAGTTAGCATTGTTGCTAGCATGTTTTCGAGGCAAAAGCATTGAGTGGTCCAGTGTGTGATTGACCATAAGCAGAGCTAGTTTACAATCATAATTATTGTTTATGTCTGTTAATTAAAAAAGAGTCGTGTTTGATCATTTAGAATGATCTAGAATGATGATGAGGCTTTGTGATTTGAGAACAATCTCAGTGCAACTCATTTATTTTGCTCGAGGGGTCCAAAGTCCAGCAATGGGTAGAGGCTGTTTCTGTCTGAAAATGCTTTATACAGAGAGTTCTTCATCATTACTCAATCACATGACGCACCTTTTGCCTCCAGTTTATACAATGCTATCTAAACTGCACACAGATGCATGCAGATTTCACATATTTATGGTTGGATTGGCTGCTGCTGTACTCTTCTAAAATGTAATCAGATCTGCATTGTGCAGAGATTGTATTGAATGCCTCATATGCCAATGTAGAGCTAGCAGTGATGCAAAATATCTTATTACTCTTTTTCAGGTTCACTGCCCTTGAGTGCGCATAAGCTGTTGGTCATGTTCACGTAAATGGTTGTGAACTGTTAGTCTAGATGAGTCTAATGTGATTTACAGTTTGATTGTACATAGATAATTTATGTAAACAAATTACCTGTCAAAATGTAGTCATTGCGACTATATTATTTCATAGAATAATAGTGAAATATTTGTCTATGGACCCTTTTCACAGACTGTGATGTTACATGTTTCCACAGTTATTAACATTGTAAATCTAGCAGTTTTTTTCTTTCTTTAATGTAATTAAAAAATATATATTTTTAAATGTAATCTACATTTATAAAATTATGCCTTTTGTTGTATTACCTTGGCAGTAAATTACAGAAAACTAGTTAATGCTGCTGTGTGGGTGTTTCTACTGACGGAGTGACATCAAATTTGTCATCTTTTCTCTTCTGACCATCAAAATCAATCTCTCGATATTTTTTTCTCTTTTGTAAAATCATAGAAATGCTATTGCGGATACTTTCTTTTGCTGTTGGAGCAAATGGGAATGCCAAAAATTATATTTGTTGTAGTTTCTGTTCATCAGCTATGATGACTTTTGAGAGCTCCAGAAATGTGAAAAGGGTCCATAAGACTAATTTTAAGCATATACCTTTAGTTTAAAGAGAAACAAATTCAGTTTGTGTCAAATTATGACTGGTAGTGTGTTCATATCATTTGTGATCCAGGCTCCTGTGCTGGGTGGATTGACCTGACATGAATGA